AACCTTGGTTCTAGCTGACCATTCTTCCAATGGCCGTAGCATATATCCCACGTTTCCCCTCGTCTCCTGGAACATCCCATTATTTCGTGTGGCCTGTATCTGGGCCTACTGTCTTGTACGCCTCCTGGAATAGAGTCAACTCGTCATTGGGAGCTTCTCAGAGAATCAATAGTCGCTCCTTTCTTGGCTTTGCCTCAAACTGTGGATCTCCCAGATTTCCCCGGAGCGCCCAAAGATAGACTGAAGACCAACGTGTTGCATGCTTATCATCTATTGGTCCGATTACTCTCGGCGGGCGCACTCTAGATACAAACTAAGAACGCCGGGTCGCGGCCTCTCCCTTACCTCAAAGGGATCTTCTGAGAGATCCAATCCGTAATTTCGATTCGTCTCACCACCTGAGACGGTGAATTGCTTCGACTGACCCGCTTACTTGCCTCACTTTTGCGCTAAACCCAGGTCTACCCACCAAAGAGGTTCCGCCGTTCCATCTCGTGTATAGGTTTCGAAGTGCATTCCAGAACGCATCCCCCGTAATCGCACAAGGATCGGCCGGGTAAGCTGTTTGGTGCTAGACATTGTGGCGTGGTAAACCGTGAATGAATGAATACGTTGTCCGGAAAGGGGGAGCTGTTCAAACTGGGTCAGATCGGCATCGTTATAAGTTAAAAGACTTGTCGCAATGGGGCCAACTGATTCGCCAACGCTCCCTACGACTTCCCGTCTAGTCGTTTCGGATATCAGTGCTGTCATACGCTTCTGGGACTCTATCTACTCTATTTTCACCAACCCAAGTGCTTTGCTTTCTTTCATTCCCCTTTCCCAAAACCTCGATCGTGATGGACTATTGAGTTCACCGAAAGCCTTATTGCTGAGTACCTGCTTTATCGTCATGGCCGGTTGTGGGTTCTTATCCGTCATTCTGAGGCGCAAGAGCTCTGGACGGACTTCGGGGAACAAGCGTTGTCGCCGGGCAGCTCGTCGAAATGCCTCCAAACCGTCTTCTGGAACTTTTACCTCGTCCGAAGACGAAGGTTATGATAGCAGTGGATCGTTGCGACATGGCACAGACAGCGCCTTCTCTACAGAGAAGACGGAGCCTCAACGCCGTGAGCAGCCAGACGATGGTCTGCACACCCCTAACCCTACCCTGCTGCCAATTATTGCTGACGGCCAAGTAGCGCAAACCACAGATCCGGGCCTACTCAAAAAACATTCAACATATATCTCCTACACTACATCCGTCGCAACATATCCGTCCATAAGAACATTTTACAAGCCGCATCCACAGAAGGACAAGTTGCCGATAAAACCATCTCCAATCCCATTGCTAGTCTTTGTACATGGCTTGGGTGGATCACTAGCCCAATTCAATCATCTGCTGACGAGCTTGTCCAACGTCGGGCCGTGCTTCGGAATAGATCTGCCCGGCTGCGGATTGTCGAGGTTCGAGCCTGCTTCTTGGAACGCATATAAGGTCGAAGCGCTCGCAGAACTGCTTGCGACTGCTATTGAAGAGCATCGTGATAAAGATGCCGGCCAGGGGGTGGTCTTGATCGCTCACAGTTTGGGCTGTTCCCTTTCAGCGATGTTGACGTCCGCGACCTCTCCTGTAGGGCCCAACTTGAAAAAGCATATTCTCGGACTCATCGCTATCTGTCCCCGCGCGTCGCCCCCATCTTCCAAAGAAATTACGTCTTTCCGCCGCCTCCTCCACATTCCGGGTCCGATCTTTGACCTTTGGCGATACTGGGATCGACGAGGCGGTCTGAAGAGCGCCAGTGTCAATCGTCTCGTCGGCGCAGATGCTGATCCCGATACAAGAGAACTCCAAGTACGGTACAACAAACAGAGCAAGACACCTGTGTGGAGACGCATGGCTTGGGGTACTCTTCCCACATATGACGGTGTCGATGAAACCCCTGTAGGAGGGATTCCAGGGGAGACGATCTGGGCAGGAGTACAGACGCCAACCTTGCTTGTAGCTGGCGAGTCTGACACAGTAACGAAGCCTGCGGAATTGCAAAAAATTGTCAAATTCTTCGGGGGCAAAGACTCAAAAATCGAAGAAAGCAGCAACGGTAGTAACATCATTCCGGATGCTTCCAAAGTCAATGACCAAGCTTCAGCCCCCTACAGCCGCTTAGCGCACGACGCAGAGTTTGGTGTTGAGCCTCAAGTGAATGAGAAGGAGATAGAGAATACTTCAGAGAAGCCACTTCAAGCTAGACGCTCTGTCAAAACAGTTATCCTCCCAGCTCCGGCTTCTCACGCTCTTCTTTACGATCGTGCGACATATCGCACTTTAGCTGGAATCATCCAAGACTTCCTTCAACAGCATGTTGATAATCGGCTGAGTCTCGGATGGCAGTTGCAATATCTTAATACGTCGGGCAAATGGGACGTGAAGAACCTAGCCAAGTGGAAAAAAGTCACACCTGTTTCAGAACGCATCTCTGAAACATTCGTCGCGCTGAAAATGTTGCGCGAGGTTGACGAGGAGCATAATCCTGTACTATTCTCACAAGCATATAGTGGCCGGATCTATGCAGTTATCGATATTAGCTACGAAAACCCGGTGTACAATCCAGCCTCTCTGGAAAAGGGAGGCATCCATTACCACAAGCACCCTACCGTGTCAAAGATCCCACCAACACCAGATGAGACACGAGATTTTATTGCCTTGGTCGATAGACTTCAGAACGAGATTACAGAGAAGGTGGTGAAGTCTGGCGGTTGCCAGACTCCACGCCCGGTAGTTGGGGTTCACTGTCATTACGGATACAATCGAACCGGTTTCTTGATTGTCAGCTACCTGATTGAACGTTGTGGGTACACCGTCCAGGAAGCAATTGACGAATTTGAAAGACGCCGTCCACCAGGCATCCGTCATGGACATTTTATTGATACATTGTTCGTGCGATATTGTGTTGGGCTTAAGAGAGCGCCGACTCTGTAGAAAGACAGATGGGATTTGGTGTCCTCGTCCTTCTGCTTGTTGCGTTTGCTCTTGTCATTCTTCTCTTCTTCTATTAGTATCCTCTTTGCGTTTCGTTTTCGGGACTATGTGGCGTTCGGCTTGGGATCATGGCTTGGGATGGTGTAATGATGAGTTATGACAATTAGTACCTCTTTGATAGACTGTACAGTAGCCAGTGATAAATAACAAATCTAATTCTTGTCTACTATGGTTATGTCCTTATTACTGTGCGAATGTCCTTAAAAGGTCGCTACGTATCAAATGGTGCACTTGGAAGGAACACTAGCTCCCCCCATCTTTTCCTGCACGATCAAACTAACTTCCTAGTAGTTTAAGGCTAACTCCCGGGCTAGTCGGATACTAGGTAAGTTTAACCATTCCCGTTTAAGGCCGTTCGGAGCCGTCATTTGTATTTCGACTGTGGTACCTGAGGCAGAAATGTTTAGGGTTACGCTAGTCCATATACGGACCGACATAGCTTAGTCACCCACAAACCCACAACGAGAAACCGCGTGATTGTCCGTCCGAAATTTCGAGGTTTGATCTGACCGACCGACTCTCCAACGACGACAACGACCCATCCTCTCACCTCGTCCCCTTTTCAGTACACCTTCGATTCCCGCTCGAGGTTCAAAGTCGCAAAAATGGGTGGTGTCACCGTTCGCGATGTGGACGTAAGTTGTCCTGTCCCCCCTGCACCTATACCTATATGCTCCTGAAGTCGATATGGCACCGGTATCTGGAAGAGGGGGAAACGGACGAGGGACCAACATTGCAGGGCAGGGAGTGAGGAGCAGAAATCTTGGGATGTTCTGGACGTGCTGGATTATTGTGGGCACTGGTTTACGTGGACGACATCGATATGCCTCAATCGGATCGCGAAGCATCGATTGATGGGATCTGCGACTGGGATGCATAGGATATACAACACCGCGATGGACGCATCGAAATGCGATTATCAGATACCGGAATTTTGCCAGAGGATCTTCAGGAACCTAAATTGCAAGGCCGGGTCAATCAAAAGACGTATACTGACGAATTTTTGGATTACAGGCGCAGAAGTTCATCTCTGCTTACTCTGCGTTCTTGAAGCGTCAGGGAAAGCTCCCCATCCCTGGTGCGTAATCTCCCCAACTGAACTTGTCTTATTATCGATCGGAAACTGATAGTTTGTGCAGGATGGGTTGATACTGTCAAGACCTCTTGCTCCAACGAGCTCCCTCCCCAGAACGCTGACTGGTACGACTGAACCAACAATGTCGTTCTTTGCGCTGCCGACACATCTGACAATTACTAGGTACTACATCCGTGCCGCTGCCGTCGCTCGTCACATCTACCTCCGCAAGACCGTTGGTGTTGGCCGCCTCCGCAAGGTCCACGGCTCCGTCAAGAACCGTGGCTCCCGCCCCAACCACCACGTCGATGCCTCCGGCTCCGTCGACCGCAAGGTCATCCAGTCCCTTGAGAAGATCGGTGTCCTCGAGTACGACGAGGACAAGGGTGGCCGTCGCATTACCCAGTCCGGCCAGCGTGATCTTGACCGTATCGCCAAGACCACCGTTGACGAGGAAGAGGAGGACGACGAGTAAATTAGCCTCGGATTAAAATAATGAAAAAGTCCTGATGTGTTCCACGTTGCCTCTTTTTTCCTTACTTTTTCCCTCTGGATTCTAAACTTCCGGGAGAAAAATCGGGTGAAAAACGGTCGAGTACGCTTCGTCGGCATGGATCGAGTGGGATTGATGGCTATGGACTCAGGGAGAGGAATGAAGTTTCTTTATTGTTGCATATTACAATGTTCAATTTCCTGATGACTCGGGGGCCTACTACGGAGAATTCACCAACCTTGACTACCCAAAGACATCCATCTCTCTCCTTTCTATGTCTAATCGACATATCGCCTCGCCCTGATCCGACCGCCGACGGCATCTCCTGTCTCTCCCCAGGCCTGAAATATAGAGCACGTATGATATCAACATGACAGATTCAAGCCTTGCATACGGGAGTGTAAGTTAAAACCGTAGAATGTATGTACAATTGTATCAATCAAGCCTCCTCTATCTTATATCTACACATTATTTCTTCCCCGACTGCGCCGTAGGATCCTACAGTACCCAAAACGTCAGTCCCCTGAACCGCAAAAACTCAAGACCAAAACAAAAATAGTAGATAAGAACTCACCAAATAAACCTGATAAAACCGCATCTTCAACTCCTTCTCATGAAAAACCACCCGTCCAGCCCACGGCACCTCAACCTCATTCTCCGGATCCGCCTTGAGCACATACCTAACCGTCCCATAGAGCATCAACTCCCGCTCACCGCCGAAATAAACCTTCTTCGGGAAATGCTTCCTGGACTTCACATGCGTCCAGAGACCATGTCGGAGATTGAGGATTTCTTTTTTCACGGAAATACATATACGTCAGCTCAATGCACCCATCAGAACTTCACCCCATCTCCGTCCATTCTAGATTCACATAGACAAGGACTTGTCGGGATCAAGACGGAAACAAAAGGAAAGAAAAGAGTAAGTGAGGAAAACGAAGGAGAGAGACTAACCTTTCTCCCCATTCGCGACCTTCGAACCCATGATTAGCGTTGCATCGGGGGTAAAACTCTCGACATATTTCTCGTGGAGGGATTCAGTGTCGCTCGTTGCGTAGAACGAATCCATGAAGGTTATCATGGAGTCGCCGTTGGGTGGGGTGAGGGTTGGGTTGGAGGTGAGGTTGTAGGACATTTTGGTTGACTGCTCTTTCTTCTCTTTTCTTGTTTGGTGGGTGGTTAGTTAGAGGGTATTGGGGTGTAACGTTATTGGGAATGGGGGAGTTTATCTAGATCGTTTTTATTGCGCTACGAGACGAGGGGTATATACTGTATGCTTTATTTGGTGATGTCAGTTTCGCTGGGGAGGTGTTTCGGGCCGATGGGTTTGGGGTTTTCCGATTGATATCCGATGGGGTTTTTATAATCTCCCTCCTTTTTTTTTTTTTTTTTTTTTAGGGTCGGGGGCTGTGGTTTTGGGTTTGCGGTTTGGGCTTTGGAGGTGTGGTTCGGGTGTAACTACTTTTATTATTAGTTTATTTGTACTCTCGCTTAGAGATGATGGAGCATAGTGATGGTGTTGTGGTATTCATGATTTATACAGTTGTATATACAGTCTGGAACAATTAAGCCTTCTTGTGATCTTCTTCGACCTCTCTGAAATCCTCCCAGCTGGCCCGGTCGGTTCCGTTGGGCCGGGAAGCCCTCTCAAATTTGTTCTCGACACCATCAATTTCACAGATTGGTCGGACAACCTCAATATCCGCGCTGTAAGCCTTGGAGTACCATTTCTCTGTGAGCGCCTCTTGTCCCGAGGCACTATCGGCGGCCACATAGAGATGAGGGAACCGGGCCTGCATGATCTTCAGAACAGTCGAAGAGATGCGATCCACGCTGTCACAGTGTCTCAGTTTGAAGAATTCTGGGGGCTGCGCAGCTCGCATTTTCTCCTGTACCTCCTCGGAGTATTTTCCTACAGCGAAGAGCAGTAGATCGTAGTGCATCAGGGACGCTTTCCCATGGTAGGAGCCGCCAGTTTTCGCTCTGTGATAGAGTCCAGTCAATGCTGCAATGGCACCCATGCAACCAGTGCCATAGTCTGAAATAGGGAAGGGGGGAACCACGGGGTTCGAGAGTCCCATGAATTGTCCTTGTGCCCAGGCAACACCGGTCACCTGCAGTCTATGTAAGCATTTCCACATTTATCTATGATTCTGAGTTTACTTACGCAGTCCGCAATCTGTTGCCAGCCTGCGCGGCCGGCCCATTCTCCCTCATACCCGAAGCAATTCTCGTTCACGTACACGATTCCCTTTCCGCGTTTCTCTGCCAGTGAGGAGAGAGCTTCAGGGCCATAGCCCAGTTTTTCAATGGCCCCTGGGCGGTATCCGTCCACAACCACATCTGCATCAGCCAAAAGCTCTTCAAACTGGCGCCGTCCTTCTTCCGCTTTCAGGTCCAAATCCGCAGCGTGCTTGCCCATGTTACCATCCACTTGGAAGAATGGCACATCAGAGAGGCTCGGACTGGTGATCTTCAAAACATCTGCTCCGTACTCGGTCAAGATGCGTGCAACAGTGGGGCCGGCAATGATGCGGCAGAGCTCCAAGACTTTAATTCCTTCAAGAATCTTCTTGCTCCCCGGGCGACTGGTGGGAAAGGGTGTGGGCGGCAGGTCACCCTTAAGGCGGGACACCTTCCATGGGGGTTGTTGGACGTTAAGTTCACCCTAATCAGGCACATGGTCAGTTTCAGTGGTGCATAAAAAGCAATATGACAGACAGTGCCACATACGTGAGGGGTTTTGATAAAGTCTTCGTATTTAAATGCTGTCACACCAGCTTGCTTTCTCTCCTTATTCATCTCTTCTAACTCTGCGGCTGTGTATTTCTGCACGTGGCTCTCAATGACTTTGATAATCTCTTCGTAGTCCATCAGATCCGGACGGTGACCATCCAATCCAATCATATTCAGCGTCGTCGTGGCCTCGAGGGAGCCATGGATATGGAAGTATTCACCCTCGTTCTTAGTTTTGTACAGATTTGCAGACATCCGACGGTAACCATTAGACTGTGCCGCAAGCAAATCGGTATCTAAGCTAGTCAGCTAACAATTCTACAGAGAGATAGAGCTTCCCACCTTTCAACCTCTTTTTGACCTCCGGGTCCAGCTTAGACAGTCCGTCCACTTTTGCCATGTATGCCTGGCAACCAAAAGCTGTAGCTCGCTCAAGGTTAACCTTCACAACGCGCTTTTGAGATCCATAGCGCAGGTTCGCAATTGCGGCTGCCACGGATCCTTCGACACCTTTCAAGGCAGCCAGAGTTTCTGTCTCTTTGAAAGGAATGGGATAGTAAACCTCATCATGAGAAGAGTCGAAAGATACCGCATTCTTGCTTTCCACTACCTCCGAAGGAAGATTGAGACGCTCGGATTGATCACAGAGGTAGGAAAAGATACGCCCCGTCTCACGGACAGGTGAATACACACTCCCCATGTCTGGTTTGCCGATGGTTCACGTGAAGGCGTTCGCAAAAGGATATCTACACGGGATAAAAAAGGATGGATATAGAGAGGACTTTGTTTGCAAAGAGTTATGATCAATTCACGACAAGAGGTGTGGAGAAAGCTATATAAGTGACTGAGCTCTATATTTTTCTTCGGAAGATAGAAGGGTACTTCAACGGTTATGGTGTTCTCCGGGTCAACTCCGAGGAAGCGTCCGATGTCTGTATGTGTGGCGGATCGGCACCTGTAGGAGGTGTAGTGGGCCTCTTTGCCAATTGATGGCAAATAATAATAAGAAGGACTTAGAGGTCATTGTGTAAATCAAGACCAACCCCGCAAAGAAGGTTGTTATCCGACAGATGCGGCGGGTCTGGCGCATTTCCTTTCGGATGTGAGGCGATAAGATCGGATGCCGATAGGATAAGTTAGTGGTGCTGAGGTAAGCGTCAGGCACTTCAGGTATTTCAGGCACAAATCACTGTATGCCTGCATACTCTCGACAACCACTGTGTGCAAACAAGAGGCTGCGATTGCTCAGATGTTGAGACTTTTTTAAAACCCGAAGTTCATAATCCTGTAATCCAGCGGGCATAGTAGTAGAATCTTAACTTATGCTTGATAATAGTGAAAACTCAAGTACGGCTTGTGTAGATTTCATCAAATGAATGGAAGTGATTGTAGACACTATTTTCGCGATGCCAGATTTCTATCTCCAAGTGATAGTCTAACAGAAAATACTAGTGGTTCAAGAATCTTGGCTTAGATGATTCAAGAATGTGTCTCATCGGAAGCTGTGCGATATCTGCAAGGGACAAAAAGTCATAGACAGGAATGTGTTAATCTCCATACTTCCGGTCTGTCGGAGATATATATCTGTAACGAAACAGTGAAAGGCTCGTATCGCAGGGATACTGGCATAGAGCCCAAGGTATTGAGCAGAAAACACAATTTCCAACTCTACCCACGGAGTAGGGAAGGCTTACTTCCTCGTACGCCTTTTCAATTATGCAAGGAGACAACCATTAGCCGACAACTAGTAATACACAAGTCAAGAATAGGTATTATTCAATCAGATGCTTTCAACCATTCTGCAATGTCTCCTTAGGCTCCGTCCATCCGATTGCGAAGAAGACAGGATATATAATGTGCTAGTAATACAAGCCTTACCCTGGGCTCATATGAGCGCGCAGCATGCTCTTGAAAGAAAATTGTGGCACCGCTGAAGATATCTGCAAAACGATGGTCAGCCTTACGCCACCAAGGCAAAGGCTAGTATTCGATGCTCACCTTGGGTAGAGAAACATCAGACTGGAGTACAAAGAATGTTTACTCTCCTTGTCCTCAATCCACGTAAATTTCCGAGACTGGCATCGTATCGATCTTTCTATATGTACTATAGATAATGGGCTTTCAACGCCTTACTCCCCTAGTTGATGTTCCCAAGAAGTTATATACATAACGAGCAGATCACTAAGCATTTGAAGCCACCCGCCTTGATCAATTGACTAAGGTCTTGGGGTGTTCAATATTTTGCCGTCCACCGAGAGTCTCTGATTCTCCGATGAAACGGAAATGTCTCGGACACAAAGAGAATAACGCGGGCTGGATTTCGACTGAAACCTGTTGCGTAAATTCACTTGGCGCCCAGTGTACTCCATGTATTTATTTAATGGCTAGTTTTGCTGCCCTAGGTTCTATCCGTGACCCTCGTCTGGTTCCGGGCTCCGAGGGTTTACCACCTGGTCCAACAATAATCGGGCCATGATTCCTAGAGGGACTTTTGATTTAGATGAACACACTGTAGGAAACATTTACCCCTGAGGGTTAAAATCGCTGCAGGGTACAATGGTCTAGCCACTGTGCCTGATTGTTAACAAATCAGGGAATAGTAAATTAGCCCTAAAGTGCATACGCTCCCCCCCCACCAACACCCCACCCCCACACTTTCATGATTTACAAATTCGCTGACGTTTTATCCTGAATATGCACTGGTCTACCGAGCACAGATACGTGCTCCGTAATCAGGGCTAAATGAGTGAATACCTAATGGCATCTAAATCCCTCAAGCCCCTTGAGACATGAGGGGAAGTACCCATTACCGCGGAGATTGTCGGCTATCGTACCCTCACGGAGTAAAGGGCTGACGACATAAGCTGAGATGCTTGGACTTCAGACCCCACTTCCATGGCGCAGTAGATCCTGGAAATTGCATCCGGGCACTGGCAGATTGTAATTACTAGAATGAGAGTCGCGATACATCCACACCCATATTTTACCGGTGAAAGAGATCCATGCATTCGCCCATACATCTATCAAATAGATGAGATTAAAAACCCTCTCACCTCTTAGGTTGTAGTATCTGGATAGACAAGGTTTCTAGCATTATGCAACCGGAGGAAGTTTTTACTTCTCAGCTGGTCAACGGAGCAAATCAGAGGAGATTCTTAGATCACATTCGTTGCATGCACACCCCACGATCTTGTCACTGCAGAGAGGGGGGAGGGGAACCATTCAACGCATTCAGATATGAGGTGGTGTTGAACGCCCACGTGTGACAATCAGGGAAAGTTATCGCGTACCGCGAATAGAATAGGGTTTCCGCTCTGCTTTCCTCATGCAACCAAACTTCGCGCACGAGCACGAGGCATGCATCTTGATATGCTCGTCGATCCGGTACCCGAGGGGTAGAATCGAGTGGAATATCTTCGGCGTTCCAAGGACACTGGAAATCTTGTATAGAGGCTTGTACACTACGACATCATCGTGCTTTAGAATGCGTTACTTATTTTTTTTTTTTTTTTGTTTGTTTGACGGTAAATCTTGGAAGTGGAGCGGGGACGGAGTAGGAGTTATTATCATGACATAGGTGGATTAATTGTATTTGGAGTATATGGAACATGTCTGATATGTACTAGGTACTTTGCATGAAGAGTACCTGATAAATTGAATTTCAGTCGTTAGGATTATTCCATCATTTGTGTGTGTGTGTGCGTGTATCTGTGCGAGGACAATCACTCGGAGTAGTATGGGAAAAAGGAAAGGAGGCAGAGATAAGCTAGTTACAGTGCGTAAATTACGATACCGAAGGGACGGTACTCCAGAGAAGGTCTGGATCGCTCCGGAAGGTCCCGGCGCTGTCTGAAGCGGGCCCGAGGAGTGTCAGCCAATGAACAGGCCCACGCGAGGCGATAGACGGTTTCTGTTCGTACGCGACCATGTATTCATGATTACCACCATAGTATGGGAACTATAAGGGAAAAGGAGAGATAAGAAGGTCGCACTGGCCCTACAAATATATGTACATCGAATCCATGTACTCCGTACTTTCATTTTAGTACTCCGTAACTCTCCCCATAAAAGGAGTAAGGATCCGGAGTCCCTGGTATTACTCATACCGTACCTTCTTTGCCTGCTGATCATCCGGCAATCAACTTTGTGGCCGCCTGACTTGACATTCCATCCGCGACTGCTATTATTATTCGTACTATTATTCCTGACGGGCTTTGCTCCTTACTTTCCCCCTCCTCTTCCTCCTCTCGCTTCTCCTTTCATCAAAGCTGTCTTCTCTCTCTCTCTCTCTCTCTCCTCTCTTGAAACAAAGCACAGTCAAGGATTACAATCGGTTCATCTTATCGATAATCTACTTCGTTCCTAAGCTCTACGGTTCTGACGGTCGCGTGCCTTTAAAGAAGACTATCTGAACTAGCGCGTCGCATCGCATCTGCCCTGACGTATCATATCGTTGCTGCATCTCAGTTTCTGCGGTCAGTCTTTAGCCAGTGTGCGGTAAGTAGCAGTCTCCTTTTTTCTCCCTATTTTCAAAAAGTTCCCTCGGGGTTCTTTGTTTCCAACAATTTTTGGTCCTTTACTTGTCCATGGTTCTGTCTGTACATACATAAGCACAACCACTCTTTAGGTACCCAGTCACCACCCCTTCCACACTTCAGGTCGTGCCTTCCGGTTGGTGGATTGTTCTGACTCATGTGATTACAGATTAGCCACCACAACAACCAACTAAATAATAATTTCTTCCTTCTCCCAACATGGCTGCTCAGACGACTACCTCTAGCATTGCAATGGCGCTTGCTGGCAAGACAGCCTCTATGGATATTCCCAAACCTCGTTCTGCTTTCACTTCAGGTGGCCGCGATCCTTCTCGTTCAGGTCATACCATGTTACCGACTCCCCCTAACTCTATCTCGCCGACGCTTCCTCCCCAGGCCTTCAAGGGCCAGGACGTGAGACATCCCACGTCTCCTCCTTTTGCCACATCTCACGTTGATTCCGATATCGACTTGGGTGACGCCGATGCAGACAGTCAGAACCAGCACCATCAGAGTGTTGGTGATCTTGACAGCGCTGGGGCAATCACCCCCGGTATGCTAGCAAAGTATCACCTACCGGAGATCATGCTCCAGCACGGACCTCTCGCTATCCGCCATGTCATGGGCTACCTGACGACATCAGTGCCAGGATTTTCCCGAATTCCTCCCGCTAAAGCACGACGACTAGTCGTTGCGGCATTAGAAGGTCGGGGAAATGATGAGAAACGTGGCGGTCCTGCAAATGATGTTATCTTTGAGAAAGTCGGATGGGGTCGTTGGGATGCACGACGTCGTGGCGAACCCTCGAGGGATGCGCAGCATCAGAACTTGTCGCCCCCTTCTAGCTTCTCTAACTCATTCTCACAGCGCGGGATACAGATTCCTGGGAAGAGAGGCAGTCTGCAGCCTTACGGGTCCAGTGTGACTGGTGATTCAGCTGTCTTCTCATTTACGGAAATGGATTATGCCGGGCATATATCAGAGCATGAGGCGGACAAGATGTCACTCGATGGGAATGAACAAGAGTACTGTTCATCTTCCGAGGCTCCAGATGACGAGATTCAGGATGAGGACTGGGGCGAAGAAGATGTCACCGACGAAGAGGATTGGGCACAGATAGGTGCTGCAGCGCTTCGTGCGCGGTCCTTGAACGGCGGGGGCGGTTTCGTCAACGGACTCCATCCGTCGCCACAACTCCGAGGCGGTGGGCCTGCATCATCCTCTTTAGCAAAGTCTGCGCCGCGCAAGCCTCCTATTCAACAACTTGGTTTCTCCCTTCCAGATGGCATGGTAGGAAATACCGAGGAGCGTGCTGCAGTGGAGGCGCTTTTGCGTCTTGGGTCTATGTAATGTTATATTCTGGACGAAAGACCCGGTTCAGATTATGCCCATTGCGTTTTATATTATGGAGCTTCATGGCCGGTCCTTAGCTCTAGCATACGTTTTTTCTTTGTTCTTTTTACGTTCTACGACTTACCCTTGAAAGGGATGTGCCAGCTGACCCGACTGGTTCGAGGTGCTGGCTATGATGCATTGGGGCTTGGTATTGAACTGGCGTTCACATGGTATTTCCTTTCGCAGCTGAGGCTGCTGCAAATTATTGCATTATGCCTTCGCGGCTGTCTTTCTTTTTTATTTTCTATTTTCCACCTTTCCTTTCTTTTTTTAATTGTGGGTTCTGCAGCGACTTGGATATATATCCTGCTACCCTGTACTCCTCATTGCATATGCCCGGATGTTAGGGCAGTCATCTCTACTCTGATTTGCATTATATCATACCGAGAGCTGTATCATCTTGATTATTGTCCATATGGTTTTTGGCCGGCACAGAAATTATTGATGGCAAGATTCACAACCGGAGACAAGATCTGCGGTGGTGGAAATACTATATAGAACTAATCAAAATTTGCCTTCAACGGCAACAAGTCATATAATAGAAGCTTACATACTCATATTTCTTCCAAGAATGAGATTAGGCCCATCCGATAAGAGAATGAGCTTTGCTCTGCATGGTAGCCCTGTATTATTGGCCACCCTATAATTCCTGCTCCTTAACAATTTAGTGCTATCGATAACCAATGCATTTTTAGAACATGCTGATAGAACCACCAATAATTTCAAAGCATAGAATACACTAAAGCAGTAAAACCTATAAAATATACAACTGATACCAGCCAATCCCATTAACGCAACATCACCATTCCAACCCGCTCTAAAGCATCCATCATACAACATGAACCGAAAAAGAAACCCAGCCCAATCGAAACCCCCAACAAAGTAAAATCACCGTACGAATCTACTTATCATGAGCTTCATTAATCCTCCTCCAAACCTCAGCTTCAACCTCCGCCAACTTATTCCCCGCGCTCCAGAACCACGCCTTGGCATTGTCCAGAAATCCCGATTCACCGGTCTCTATTTCCGTGCTCGCAGATGTATAATGCAGCGGTAACTGGGATGGATTCCCCGAGAGAGATGTATTTACTGTACTCGTTGGCGGCTGATAGAGGGATGCGTAGGGCGTGGATGTCGAATTCGGGACTGCGGCTTGCGTTTGAGACTGCGGATGGGGATGTCGTTGTGTTAACGACGATGGAGAGTAGCTGTAGCTGTACCCGGATCTGGGATTTGAGTTGGAGGCAGTAGTTGAGGGAGAAGTGGATGTAGTAGCAGTAAGAGTAGTAGGAGAAGTAGTGGCAGTAGGGTTAGTTTGGGTACTTGCCGCGAACGGTGCTTGTGGTTGCGGTTGGGGGATATCGGCTGGTTTTTGGGGTGGAGGATTTGACAGAGATGGTTGTTTTGGTCCTTGGGTTTCTGGTGGAGGAGGATGTGGTTGAGCGCCAGGTTGGGGTGGTGGTGGTGAGGTATTAGTAGTCGTTGCTGTCGTTGTGGTAGTGGTGGTAGTAGCTGGTTCTGGGGGCGGGTGTGTAGGTTCTGTCGGGGGGCCGGTTGGTGCTGGGGCTGGTTGTGAGGGCATACTGGCTGGTTCGGCCATGGCGTAGATTGGCGAGTAAGGTGGTGCTGTTGCTGTTGCTGAGGTGGTTGGAGGTTCGAGGTCGTCTTGCTTGGAGGTTGGATCTGGAGATGGCGTTGGGGAAGATGAGGTCTGAAGGTTACCCTCCTGTGTATTTGGAGACGAAGCCATGATAGAAGATGCTGCTAGTTTGATATGTCAGACACCAAAAGCATGCTTTGGTCTCATAGCAATCATGTTCTAGGAGCTGTCGCAAGGGTAGCTCGAAAGCAATTATTATCTGCAGCCACTGGGGCCTACGTCATCATAAAGGGATAGCACGTGAAACTAGTCAGGTGACTTTGTTCACTGACCGCCCTACAGAGTTTTCAGAGAGATTTACAAGACCACGTAAACCAAAAAGACAGGCTATTTGATTCCGCATCATACTGGCAAAGGAAGCAAGATGGAAAGAAAAGGAAATAAAATAAACTTGCAGGCAGTAAAGTACAACTGGTACAAGGAAATAGCACACTGCTCTATGCTCAAGATTACACAATCCCTTGACGCATATCTAAATTTTCAGCATCTGGTAGTTACGCCAGATGCCCTCTCCCCATTAACGTCACACCCGAAACGAATTGAAGTTAATCAATCGTCTATTTGAACTTCTTGCCGAAGAGGATGAGCTGGACCTGGTCGTAGATAGACAGGACACCAGCACCGGCAACACCACGGAGGATGTTAGCACCGGCACCCTTGAAGAGAGACTTGACACCCTCCTTGGCGACGATCTGGCGGAAAGCATCGAAGGAAGAGCTGTACTTGACGGCCTCACCAGAGGTCATCATCATACGACGACGGACGGTGTCAAGAGGGTAAGAAGCGATACCAGCACCAGTGGTGACAGTCCAGCCGAGAAGGAAGGAAGCAAGGAAGTTACCCTCAAGAGGACCAACCAGGACAACGGGCTTGATGGAGTCGTACATGCCGAAGTACAGACCACGGTAGACAACAATACCAAGAACAGAGGGACCGAAACCACGGTAGAGACCGGCAATACCATCAGAAGCAAGAGTCTTCTTGTAGACATCAACGAGACCGTTGAACTGACGATCACCACCACCCTTGGCGGACTTAGCATCGTTGGCAAGACGGGTACGGGCGTAGTCAAGAGAGTAAACGAAGAGAAGGGAAGTGGCACCAGCAGCCTGGTATAATTTGTTAGCGATGTTTCTATTAGGTGCTAATTCTGGGGAGACATACACCACCGGAGGCAAGGTTACCCATCATCCACTTGGCGTATCCATCACGCTCCTTCTTGTAGGCGAACATGGACTTGTAGGTGTCACGGAAGGCAAAGTTAAGAGCCTGGGTGGGGAAGTAACGGATGACGTTGGCAGTGTTACCACGCCAGAGAGAGGCAACACCCTCAGAGGCGGCAGTACGACGGAAGCAGTCCATGATACCGTTGTACTTGCGGTCGAGACGACCGGCGCGAAGCATCTCATCCTGGTTCTGGATGAGGAGCTTGATACGCTCGATGGGGGCGGCAGCGGTCTTGGAGACAGCAGCGGAAACACCACCCACTGTTGAGGTTGGTTAGTGCATGTCGAATCATGGGCACAGATCTAGGAAGTCTGCATTGATGGGAATTGGTCTATTTGGCTTTGGCCAATCGATCAAGGGATGTTCGGGATGCACATACTCATGAAGTCGACAACGAATCCCTGTTGTGAAAATTCTTGTTAGCCAACATTTCCTTGGATCAATTGCGTGCCATCGCGTCAAATCTTCTGAATCCCGATTTCCTGATGCTTGCGATGATTCTTTCGATGCTATAGAGGCAATACGATCCATCGAGACCAGGAAGCGCGTGATCCGAAGTTTTCGCCAGCTGGGAGTAATAGTAACTTACGGGCATGCCGAAAACGGACTTGTCGCCCTGGTTAACGGACATCTTGGCGGCTGTGAAGAATGAAAACTAAACAACCAAGAGAGGAGATGGATAAGGAGAGTGATGGAAGAAAGAAGAGAAGAAGGAAGGGAAAGGGAGAAAAAATAGCGAGCGAAGGCTCTTGTAAGCGGGAAGAAGCGAGCGGAGACGCTAAGACCGCTTTAGGATACGCTGGCCAATTTCGCAGTGGCAGCGACCGGCAGTCCAGGGAAGGGGAAGGGAAAAAAAAAAAAAAAAAGAAAACTGGAACCGGCGCTAATGCTGGCCCAGGCAACCAGAGCCGATATCTCCCGATCGCTCCAGAAACCATTCCGACTGGTTTTGGTCCAAGTGAGATACCCCCAAAACAAGAAAGAAAAAAGAGGAAAAAATGGGGGGAAAAAAAGAAATACTAGATGAATTGATTTTGATGGCTATGGAGAACTATTGGGTTCTTTTCTCTAAAAAGAAACTGACTACGTCTATAATAGTAATATTTTTCGTCTATGGAGGTCTATCGTCGCTGTTGGATTTTCTCGGATGCATACCGAATCGGCCGTTCTGATACTGTACCTCCTCAGAAAAGGTTCCATATTCGAATTTTCCCTCCCCTTTCCCATTTCCCCGTGACCGAACCAACAAACAATTGGAGCCTCTCCGCTCAGAAACAGACGCTCATTCACCCACACCTACATGGGGAAGTTCCCCTTCTTCGCTTTGGTCCCGAGTTTCCGATGGCAAATCAAATTTTAATCGGCAACGGACGTCGACTCCTTGAACTTTGACTTTGTATTCGCCATACGGAAAATGAACTAGGCAAATTCAAGATGATCACTAAATCTCTTTGCCGTTCCGTACCATATAGCTGTATGAAATTCGTAATTCACTCTGAAGCTAACGTCGGTCGTGTGCGCCGCCGGCTATCGTTGCCATGGCGTTCGTACACCGTCGAAGAGCCCTTTGATATCTTCAATAATAATCCGGACTAGTCAATTTCATTGTATTTCTCCTATTCGCCATCTCTTCAAGCTTCGCTCTCTTTTGGTCTCAGCCTCCATGGCCTGCAGGGCTGATGATGGCCAAATCCCTCATTTCCAGCTATTCACTCCCAAGGTTTCTCATATGTGCTGTACCTCAAACTACCTCGGATATTAATAGGTACTATTGATACATACGTGTCCCTACAAATTTGACCAAAAGAATTTCAGACCTGTCAATACGAGATAGTAACCTTGTGCTTGGTCAATTTGTTCTTTATCATGATCCATTTATGTATCAACACTAGTCCAAACATTACCATTGTTCTTAGCTATAATATTCGCGGTCCAAAGAAGACACGATGTCAAGAGGTGCAGAGTACGGAGTATGGACGGTTCCATGCGGATCCACACGGCTTCCTTTTTTTTTTTTTTTTAGCTCTCTAGATCATTTTCTCCTTTTAATGACGGGGCAACAAAGCTAGTGTAAAACTTCTCAGTCGCCCGTTGAAACGGAGACCCACCAAACATGGGGGTCCATCTTTTGTTATGAATACTCACAGCATCAATTTCATATTCGCCATCCTGGCTATAATATTGACTGGTTAAGCAAAAGAAGTAGGGTATGAGTCCCAGACCCAAGGATTCGGATCTTTCCGTCAGGGAAGAAAACTTGCCACTTCTTTTACGATTCTAGATTCGTGAAAATCCTTCATTCTACCCAATTGCCACTTTTCGGATACCGCTTGGCAAACACTCGGTGATCCGGTGGTCGAGAGCCAAATTATACAACTTCAGCCGGGTAGGAAATGCTCTTGGTACATAGTGCATACATACAAAATTTTGGACGTAGTCCATCGGAACCTGATGTATAGAAATGCGCTGCTATTAGCAACTTCCCTACTCCGTACTCCGTACAGGCATTGTCAATCCCTACCTTGTTGTTCAATTATATATCTCATGCGTCTCTCACGTGTGAACCTTCTACTTCCGGCATATTCATAAACCCATTTATTCTTTTGGTAGCCCCGATAAATACAAATGCAACTCCACATAACGAAAGATATCAAACGTCCCGGATGTAGATGGAACTCCAATGCTAGAAGTAATTAAGCGCTAGGCTTGCTATCGGACGCCATTAGTGCTTCTTCGACCTCTTTCTCTTCTTTCTTTTGGGTTCTCCCTCCCGGATATCGACATTTCCGACATCAGTGGCATCTTCCTTCTCTTCAACCGTTCTCCCACTACCGAAAACAAACTCTGGACCCTCTTCGTTACCGAATGTATCCTTACGCCATTGCCTCAGCCGAGCTTTCTTGCCCAATTTCTTTTGATCGCGACGCTTCTTCTCGGGATCACGGAACGAAGCAAGTTTCTTCAATCCGGCATACTCGTTGAGTTGAGTATCCTCAGCCATAAGAATGTCTTGTGCGGTCAGACCAAAACTGTTTGGAGATGTTTCACGGTAGCGGAAATGTCCCTGGTGCTTCTTTGCACCGGGAAGGAGGTTGATATCCAGATCCAGGTTGCGATCCACTGCCTCTTCAATGCGTAGTCGATCCTTGCGAGCTTCACGCTTCTGATCCCGCCTCTCCTGCGCTTTGCTCTTTTTGTTCTTGGCTGCGCTCTCATCGCCCTCGGCGTCTTCAGCATCATCCATCTCAACATCGGATTGCTGTCGGTCAGGCTTCTCGTCGTCATCGTCAAAGTCTGGTACAAGATCCTTGATATCGATATCATCATCCCAAGTGGGCTTCTTGGGTTTCTTTTTACCATCACCTTCTCCAGCATAATAGTCTTCACCAAATCGCTTCTGCATCTCTTGTTCCCATTTCTGGTCGTCCCAGGAATCATCCAAGAACTTGGCCCATTCTTCATCAGTGAACTCGGATGCGCGGAGGCCTGCGACTTCCTTAATTTGATTGACTTTCTCTTGAAGCTCTTCCATCTTAAGCTTGCGAAGTCGGTTCTTTTCTGTTTCACGCTGCTTCTTTTCCTCTTCCTTTTTCAAGCGTTCCGCCTCCCTCAGCTTCTTCCTGCCACTTTTCTCATCTCTGCGAACCGACTGCTGGTTCGTGGCATCACGAGCGTGTGTAATCAACGTTGCGTTGATTTTGCTAGGATCTTCGAAGCGGAAGTTGTATGCTTCTTCAAATGCCTCTGCCCGTGCATCATCATCTTCATCATCAGACTCAAGAGGCTGAAGGTCTGCCCTGCCAGCAGGGATCCATGCCCTAGCTGACAGAAAGTTGGACAGGAAAGTCTCTGGATCTTTGTCCGCAGTCTCAATGTCCAACTTGACGTCCTTCTTCGGCGCCGATACGGGCTCGGGGGCTGACTTGGCAACAAGGAAGTCTTCATCGTCGTCACT